TGGTGTGGACAAACAGTGGTCTTCTGCGAGCACAATGGCTGCCATGGACGCGGCACTAAGATGTACCGGGTTGGTGCGCTATGGGCCGCAGCAGCATGTTCGTGAAGCCGTCCGTGTTGTTATATGCAGCGGCACGGCCAGGCGCTTTCTTGGCCATGGCACGTCCACGGCGAGGTTACCTCCGGCACAGGGGGGGTGAGACGATGTGCACATGCCCTCCGCTCGGGAAGTCAAGGCATTCAAGGCAATTCTCCAAAGCAGAAGCCCTCGGAACAAAAGCTGACGCCCTGTACTGCGACCAGCCGGAGTCAAAAAAGTCCCCTTGCCACTAGGAAAGAGCCCGTTTGGTCTTGAAGCCCTGTCTGTCGTGCCGCAATGGATGAAAACAGGCAAAAAAGCTACCGTCTTCCTTGTTATTGTACCAGGCCATGGCTGTCGATGGAGCACCCTCCCCTGCTTCCTTCAGAGCCTTGCAGCAGGGATGCAGGGGCAGGACCATTTGGGAAGGTATGGCACTGGCACTCTGTATTCATCCGCTATACGCGGGCGGGCCCGGAGCTACTTGCTGTTTTCCGGGTGCTATGTCCCGGTAGAAGGCTTACTCTGCCGGACCATGACTCGATGTGTACAGCCCAAGATAGAATTTGGAGGAGCTGCGGACAGTGGCAGTTCTTGAAGTCTCGTCGCTAGGAGCCATGGAGGCTGTCGATGTCGACGGCAATACGCAAACCATCCCAAGACCGGATCAGATGATTCCCTTAGATGCCCACTTGCCCAGCCGTGTTGGGGCAATTTGCATGCGGAGGATCGGCCCCTTAAGCCCCGGCACCAAAAACCCCACAAGCCCCGAAGTGTGGGGGCTTGCCCTGTCTTCACCCAGGAGACTGGCGAAAATCAGGGTGAATGACCGGATGCGGGCCCCGGTCTCGGGATGCTGGGTTGTGTTTTAGACTGCTCAGGCTTTACCGTCTTTTTCGGGTGAGAAATGTTTGGAATGTGGTTTCGGGCGCAGGGCGTAGGGGGAATATAGACTTCAATGTTAGCTCCCGGGGCAAATGGAAGGGTGGCGGGTTTCTGAACTCGGGCTTCTGATTCTATCATGCCTAGACCACGAGTTGGGGATTTGTCTAAGCAAACGTTTCGGCGAGATTCCTAGACCCTTCCGGGTAGGTTTAGGGGTTCGGCCGCTTCTGCCGTGGTTCAGGGTGTGACAGGGTTCAGGTCTGGCTGGGGTTGGCGGGTTTGGCATCGCTTGTGGAGGAATTGGGGTTCCAGGCTTGGGGGTTGGGGGGATTGGGATGTGATGGGTTTGGGGTTTCAGGCTTAGGGAATCCTCCCTGAAACTGTGAACTGTGTTGAGTTTTCCGGGTCCTGAATCATTGGCTCATGACCGGTTTTGGCGGCGTCTCTGACTTGGCTTAGCTCTCCACACCTCGTATGCCCGACTGCAAGACTTCGTGCCTGCCCGAGCTCCATGTAGTCTTCTTTCGGAACAAACCACAGTTCAGAAACGCACTGCATGCCCATCTCGCACTGGCTATGTTACTTCCGGCCCTACATTTGCCGCCCTGCAGTCTGAATCCTCCGTCGGCCGTGGGTTCCGTCGCCTGGATGAGGATCCCGATACCAGCTGCCATGTCGCAAGATCAAGATAACAATCATTTGAAGTTGAGGCTTCACAAGGGTGTACCACTGGACGGCTTGGCGTGTGGCTATTTTCTTGCCTTCTCTGATTGGATGTCGTGGCTGACATTTAGGACTTGGAAATCGGCATAGCAGAGCTGGAGATGTCCCCCCCCCCGTCCTCCTTGCATCCCTCAACCGAGCCCTGAAGCCCAAGGACCCAAAGAGGCCTCCCACAGGCAGGCTCAGGTTTAGCATTCGAGCTTCCACGGGAGCACGAAGAATGGAGTTCTAGGGTGCTGTCATTCCACTCGTCCTCTCGCACTGAATGTAGGTATCCCTTCCCCAGTCTTTGATCCAGGGCTCCCTTCTGATCAATACTCGCCATTCCCGAAAGCCCCGTAACGCTTAGGCCTTTTGTACTTGAAGGTAACCAAGGAGCCGTGACCCTGAACCACAACCCCCCTACTCCAGCCGAAACAGCAAGCAGGAGACGGCAGGTCTTGCCACTGCGACGCTTCCGGCAGACCCTGCTGCGCCTGTTTCCCAGAGAGAGCGAGCTTCCCAACAGCTATGGCAGTTATGGCCCCTTCAGGATTTAGGTTTGAGTTGATGAGTTGATAGAAAGCCCAAGGCGGTGTGCACAAGCAACATTGTCCTGTCCTTGTGGTTTGTTGAACAGAGTTCGTTGTCATGGCCAAGGTTCTGCAATGTGCCGATACCGAGACTGTTCCTAAATTGTAAGCTGCCTGCTGTGACCCAAGCAGAGCTACCAGCTACGGCCCATTCACAGCATCCGCAAGCTTCGAACAGCTCCACGCAGCTGCTGGCTTCTGAGTGGGTCTTGTGCAGCGTGGGGTCACTTCTCTCTCTAAAGGTGGGTGGTACGGAGTCGAGAGTATGTCCCAATAGTAGGACCTACAATTCCAGTGAAGGGCGTTGCACCGCCCCAAGTCCCTGGCAATCCAGAGGCCACCCCCCCCCTTAACCCGTGACCCCCCAGGAATTAGGCATCACCTCGAGGCTCTCAGCAATGCTTTTGGCTTAGGGTTCAGGCGGTGTCGGCCCACTTCAGAGAATCTGTGCAGGTCGGCTGAAGAGAAAGCCAAAGAGGAGATGGGCTCTATCCAGGAAGGTGCCCCCGATCTGGGACCAGGGCTCTCAGGGTGCGGACTTTTACTTTGGCAGCCTTTACAACGTCTGGGGTCTTCTGGCGCGGATCCGCTCTAGGGGCCTAGGGGGTTTCTGGGGAGTAAAAGGAGATCCTACTGAATTCCTTTCTTCAGAGCAAGGCGGCCTTGGCGGGTTAGTCTTGCATAAATGTGAGGCCATTATTCCACGCCTCCCCAGCCATGTGTTTCTTTTTGCTCCACACGCCGGGGGCTTCCGAGAAGGGTCATACCCTGGAAGCAAACTCAGAAGCCGAAGAGTTGTGAGCAGCAAGAATCACGACTTGGCGTGCAGATGGCCTCAAGATGTAGCAGCAAGCTGGCACCCTGGGCTCCAACCAAGACAGCTGCATCACACGCATACCCCCACACCCCTTTTAGGCTTGCCGATTCAAGAGAGAAGTAGTCCTGCTTTGTTGGCTGAACACTCAATCCACAAGCCATCTGCTGCCTTTGTCCTGGACATGTTGCCCTGGCAAGAGGGCCCATAACAGGGCTACCTTGTTCATTTCTAGGCGGCAGGGGGTCCTAGCAAACCTTGGCGCAGGTGCGATGAGCGCCCTGTCGCATGTTCGCGACCCAGCGTTTTGGGTAGTTCCTTGCAGATAATAACTCAGGTCGCCCAGGTCCAGCCGGGAGAGAAACAAAGGAAGCTAAGTCAGGAGGAGTATGCAAGGAGTAATGGCAGGAACTGTGACACACAACAGGGAAGAGGATCGTCGATGAGGAGAAGGGCCCATTCGAACAGCTTTGGCTGTATGAAGTGTTCTCTTATTCAAGAAGCAGTCTCGGGGCTGAAAGGACGTATACGGTTGATAGGCCATGGGACTGCTTCTGGCTCCCTCCTGATTTAAACCCCCGCGATTCCGCCATAATTTCACATCATCCTGAGCTTGCGGGCCCTAGGAGTTTCAGGGGTTTGGGGAGGGTAGGGCTCCTCCGCATGTATTGGGGTTGAAGCACCTATTTCTCAGGCCTAAGGCTTTGTTTCGGGGGCACAGGCTGTAGGAGGTTTTAGGATTCACCTGCTATGGTGGCACCACACACTCCCAGGTCACATCTTGGTGTTGTGCACTTGGAAAGCGGCTTGCTTTCCTTTAAGCCCCAAGATCTACTCTTGAACGTTGGAGAGGCTTCAGGGTGCTGAGGCTTTCGAGTTGAGGGCTGTACCCTAAGCCCGAAGCCTCTATGCCTCGATGCCCTGAACCCTCCACTTTTAAGCACTTGAAAACACGAAAGCAGCCTCGCCGCGGCGCAGGTCGCGGATGCCGCAAGTGACGACAACAAGGCGGGTTCGGGTTCAGGGGACCGACGCCGTCGTTTGGAAGCATTGAAAGAATGGCATCGAAATCATATGGACTCTGAACGTGGATCCCTAAAGTCTGTCCTAACCCCAAGCCAGCATAGCAGCCCAAACACCAATAATTCCAATCAGCTCGCCGACCTGCCAGGCTCTTATGGACTAGAACAGAAGCCATAAGCTTCAGCAGATAGAAGTGGAACGTAGGGATGCTCGGCTTTATGCGACAACAAGACAAACAAGGGTAACAAGATGCCCATCCGGTACTGTTTCGTTCGTTGCAGAAGAGCGTGATGTGCTGGTGGTTTGAAGCAGTACAAGCGCTGCCAGCGAAGCCGAGCCAATGCAAGCCTTCCAACCAGTCACGTCATATTGAGTTAGGGGCTTTGGCAAGTGCCTTGATAGGAATGCACTGGGGCCCTGGAAACAGCTCATTGCCTAACTAGCTATGTAGCAGAGCTTTAATGTGTGTTCAGAAGCCCAAGAAAAGTCCGGACCCGCAGAATTGTCCTGCCCTTTTCTTGCATCCGAACAACCCTGTTTGTAACCTCGGTGTCCTGTTTCGGTGGTTTGCAAAAGCTCAGCCAAAGCCGAGGCCTGTTTGCTGTAGCAATATGCCCCAGATCTGGCGGAGCTTGACCCCCCTAAACAATACCAGCCGATGTCCTTCCTCCCTACTTTAGGACTCATGGCGTTCAGATGACAAGCGAAGAATGGAGGGTTCGGGGACAAAATTTGAAAATGACTTTTGCCTGTACAGAGCAATTGCCACTCCAAACAATATGGCGCAAGGGCTTGCATTGGGGTTTAGGGTTCAGGCAGTTTAGGGTTAAAAGAGCCTATTTAGGCTCAATACCCCCCGGTTGATTCTTTCAAGGCGGGAATGAGGCATACGCACAGGCCTCCACATGTCTTCCAAGCATGTCAGCCCGAAGCTGCACGAAGAAAGACTTCGGAAGGAGTTTGTCGACGAGAAGGCCAAGGAGGCCGCCGACAGGCAGCGCTCACACAGCGGCAGCATAAGATCCTTACGCAGGTCACGAATTCGAGGGTTCGGGCTTCGCCTCGCCTGAGGTTTCAGTAGCTTGCTGTGCTCAGTGCTCAGCCCCAAAATCGTAAGCCCTCATATCAGGCAGGGTTCAGTTTAGGATTCGGGTGCTGGGAGAGGAGGTTACGGGTTTTTCGGAAGGTTTCGGGTTTTGGGATGCGGTGGTTGTACCAAAGCATACCAAACCAGAAGAGGGTCAATCGACTTTGCGAGCGTCTGCAAAGCCGGAAAACCCTGACCCTCATGCCCTCAATTGTAGGGTTTCGGGTGTTTAGGGCTTAGGAGGCCGAGCATACATGAATAAAACTTCCTGAACCCTACAAAGCCTTAAAAGCAAAAAAGAAAGCCCCATCACCCTGAAGCCCAAACCCAGAACTGGCAGGCTGGGACTTGACTACGAGACGTACCACGACCTCCACAAGAAGGTGCATCGCCTGGGGAGCGGGGCATCGGCGTCCTTCGTGGATGTTTTTAGAGAGGCCCGGATTCAGGAGTTCCGTACCGGAATCCTCCACCCCAAGCCCTAAACCCCTGCTGGTCACCACGGGAGCTTCAAGGTTTATAGATGAGCTTTGTGCGTGAAGCGCTTGGATAGACGATTGAAAGTTCATCGCTGAAGCTCGTGAGGCCAACGCTCGTAACTCTTAATCTTCCAAGTAGAGTAGATCCCTACCCCCGCCGCAGGCTCTAAGCCGAGGGAGGTAGGGCCTTAGACGGTGAGTGCTCGATTGGGACGATAAAGGGAGCTCTGAACGGTTTTGGGTCGCGTGCCCTCAGCCTACAGAGCATGAAAGTCACGGCACCCATCTCTGTTGGGGCTGCTGTGCTCGCAAGACCCGCCCGCTTGCAGGGTTTTTTTCAGGGTCCAGGGTCCGATTGAGAGGGGGCTCCCCCATGAACCCTCCTGAGGACACAGAGAGGACGTGGAAAAAGGTGCAGTGCGGATTCGATCTAAGCAACTTGGATGGGAACAAGGAGACGTTGTAAGGCTTAGGTGCTTGAGGGCCTTATTTCTCGGGTTACAACGTTGTGATGGAGCGGTCTGCTGTTACTCATCCTGCTATGGCCGAAGGGTGCTGGATTATGTTGGTAGTCTGCCTACTTAGCATACAGTAGGTAACTACAGACTGCTGCTCTCTGTCCGTTCTAGTGCTTAATAATCTTCAATCCTGTGCCACTCGGCCATAAAACACTGAACAAAAGGCATCGGATGTCTCTTGCAGATCTTGCACGTCCCAACTGCTTTATCGAGCGCCTGGAGATGTCTGTTCTCGTGATGCAAACTTTCCGAGTCAAGGCAAAGCCGTCGCACGATTTGCGCAGATGGGCACCTTGATTGCCTTGTCCACCAAGGACCAGCCCGAAGATAAAGGGCTAAAACGTTTCACAGGGCACGTGTTTGAAGTGTTCTTCGTGTGCGCAAGGAGGTGATAAAATCCACACTGTTTCTAAGCCAAAGTCATATACTCTTAACAAATCCAAAGCGAAGCCGAACAAAAACAGAAGCGCCGTTGTGAACTCATATTTCCGGGTGGGTGCTCGGAGCAGATGCAGTGGATCTCAGGGGAAGGAGGCAAGATCAAGAGCCTCTCCCAAGAGCCTCTGAAAGCCTCCTCCAGTCGCTTCTATGGCCTTCACGGGGGTGGTCTGAAGCTGTATAGGCGTTGTGAGTACTACCAGGGTTTAGGAGGGTTTAGTTGAAGGGCCTCTGCCTGCAGTTTGCAGGACTGCGGTGCTCACAACTTCGAGGTGAACGGGCACCAAGGCCGGCGGTGTCCACACTCTCCGATGACTAGCGCGACTGCACGATTTTGATTTTGTTGGAGGTAGGATTGAGGGAAACTACGAAGGGTTTGCAGGTTTACCGTTTGAGGTTCAGCGCTTCTAGGGATATGCAAGGTTTCTATGTAAACTGCAGAAGCTTGGCACCCAACCAGCTGACACCTTCCATGTATTCCATGTGTTAGAGACCTGGGCCTCGCTGCTCACCCAAAACCCGACACCCTGAATGTTTCAGAGATTGGGCTCCAGGGTTCAAGATTCCTTTTTGCAAGCCTGATCCACAAGCTGTTTTTGAATGTTTATGGTGAACGGTGAACCCGGACCAAAGCCCGAGTAACCACTTTGACCATAGGTGGTCTGACAAAAATGGCTTCCGGTTTGGGGTGAAGGGTTGACAACTGAGGGTTTCCGAGCCCCGAAGACCCTACACAAAACGATTTAGCCCCTGAGCCGTGAACCCACAGGGATCCATGGCATGTCCGGAGGAAGTCTGAGGTGTAGATTCGATCTGTCAGTCACATGTAGTGGAATGTATTTCATTAAATACTGTACACACTGTACACGCTGAACCGACCCTCTTCAAGGTGGCTCGTAGAGAAAGTTAAGTGTATAAGCTCGAGTTTAGGAAGAAGTTTGAGTGCTGCAGACTTTCTCGCATTACTACACCATGGCGTGTCCTACCTTGGATTGGAGTTGTCTGATTTTGCAGTTGTGTAGAAAGACTCAAAAGGGGCTCTGTTTTTTTTTATTTTCAGGGTATCTTGGGATTTCTGATTTAGTTTTTGAAATGACGAGCGAGTTCCTCAATAGTTTGTTACCCTCCCCCCTCAACAGAAATCGTGGCCCTCGAGCTGGGGGCGCCCTCCATATTTCTTTCACTTGCACTCGCAGTCTTTTAGCCAAACGATTTCGCAAGCAGCGCCATCACTGTTGCTAAGTTAGGCCGAGTGTACTGAGATGGGGAAAGGCCTAGGGGGGCCAGAGGTCAACGGGTGTAGTGGGCAAGGGGTGTCCACCCTGACAGGCAAGACGAAGTGCACCATTGACGTCACGGGAGCCATCGCTTCCGCAGGCCATTGTTGTGGGTGTTTAGGGCGAACAGAGCGGACCCTCTCGCTGCGGAGGTGCAGGAGGTTACAACTCCTACCTTCGACCCTGAACCCAAACCACTTCGAACCTCCTACACTCTTAACCCTTGCGCTCTTTCACCCTGAAGCCCTCCAGAACCAGTTGGATTCTAATTGCCAGCACCAAGGTGGCCCTGACATGACGCACAGAGACGACTAGATCTCACTTCTTGCCGGTCATGTTTAGAACCGACCAACATATCCCACGTCGCACGGCCTGGACGAGGGAAGTTGTTGGGCCCCTGCCGCTGTGTGGCGTACCCTCATAAACTTTTTGGGGGGGGATTAAATCACGAGCATGCGTTCATCCCTTCACAGCCCTGGTTCAGGAATTGCCTCGAGCATGATCACCCTCAGTGTCATCAATTGCCCGGGCGCACTCGACTACACAAGGGCTATGTCGGAGCGTGGCGCGGCTGAAGCTGGCCCAGGGTTTAGGGCCTGGGCGTTGGATTTGTGTACATTCTCACTAAGTCGCTTGGGCAGGGGTACTGCGTGGTATTGCGTGGTATTGCACATCACGTTTCCAAGCTATGAGACCCTCCCCCACCCAGTTGTGTCCAACCCAAAGGGCCTCGCCTGTGTGCCTCACTTTCACAACCTAAACCCTGCACTATAGCCTGAACCGTGACTATGAACCCTGCAACTGGGACCAGTATGTGCAAGCACAGGGCAACATTCCTCAGGGCACAGGTGGCATGGGTTGAAGTGAGGTCCGGAAAGCACCAGGCAGGACAGCAGATCTTGACGAGTAAAGCTCAGCCCGTTTTGCGGCAGGGAGCATTTCGCCTGATTTCACGCCGCATGAGCACAAAGCCCTTTCTCCAGCCCAGGCTTGTGTGCAGCTTCCATCATTGACCTGGTGTCGGCGGCCACCTACATTGGTACCTCTATTGCGGCTTGGCGAGTCTAGACCAGCGTTGGGGCCTGGAATCAAAAGAGACCAAGATTTAGTAAACTGAACATGTGATAGCCTTTGCTGAGGCAAGCGTGCAAAGCACATGCGGCTCTCTGGACAATTACCCTGGAGTTCCTGGCACCTAAAATGGCGGCCACGGTGAGGCGCTTGAGGGTTAAGGGCTTCAGTGGCGCGATTTGGGCGACATCAACCCTCAGTGCATTGGTCAATGCCTTGTTCACAGAATCAACAGCCAACCCTGAACACAAGATCCCAAGGGCTCTGGAATCCATGAGGGTGGAGTTTGAGTTCTCCAAAGCTCTCATGTCACGAGATGATGGGATGAGGAAGGGGAGCGGGGGGTCGGGCCCAAGGGTAACCAGCTGAAGTCGGGTGCCGGATGTGGCTGTGCGACATGTCAAGATGGCCGCAACAAGCGCAGGCAGCACGAAACAAGACCACATACTGCAGCTAGTATACACATGCAAAGTATATGGCTGAGGGTCAGAGAACGCGGTTCTGGTGAAAGGCACCATGCTGCATTCACAATTCCGGCTGGGATGCTGTATGGTTAATAAACTGAATGTTTCTGCAAAGCTATGACTGTCAGTGAAACACAAATCATTCCGAAGTTTCTTGTTTTGCTTGGCTTCTGACTGCTCGTTCAAGATCACTGTTGTGCGATCCGCAATGATCCGCACTACCCCTACTAGCGAGGCAACCTTCTGCAACCCTCACTGGCCACACTTCCCTCAGCAAAAAGCAGTTTAAGCAGGCCGAGACTTCTCAATCACGTACGCAGCCCTGAAGCCCTAAAGCCTATGACCCGGCAGGGTTGATTAACATCTTCTGAGTGGGGCTGGGGCTTAGAAGTTCTAGCTCCGATCCCAGCCTCTTGATCTTGACTCTGCCTGGATAATGATAAGAAAGGATTCCAGATCGCTCCCTTGCTACTCTCTTCACGAAAGTGGACCGTTCTTCCTCTCAAGAAACTGACGGTCAGGTGCTTAAGTTCTGAAAGGATTTGCTTCGCGAGGCATACAGCCAGCGCCGAAGGCATCACGCAGCTGTGATGCAACGCTTACATCCTACAGACGAATCTACGCCTGATGGTTTGTAGGCTTCCAGTCCCGGCATGGCTAAGAGAGTTTTGGTATTGGCGCACGTCGAGAAATTCCATGCCCGCTGGCTTCTTTGACGTAGCACCGTGCTTGGTTTGCCTTCCTCCTGGTGTGCGCCAATGTGTGAGGAGGCCTCTCCATCAAGAAACCCCAGTCCCTGCATCCCAAACTTCACACACGAACCTGAGTCCAGCTCATGACAGCAGATTATGGCAAAAAGTTTGAGTAGTGACTGAGCTTCTGAAACCCCGCACAGTGCCTGTGCTGCACGAATCTACACGAATGTCTAAAAGCCTCGAGCCCTGCATCCTGAAAGCAAAGTGCCGAAAGCCTCGAACCCTGCAACCTGAAAGCAAAGTTATCCATGTTCAGCAGTGTTCAGGGTTTCGTCTTGTTCTGCGTTGAAGACCTGGCTGTCGGGTCTGGAGAGGCCTCCATCTTGAATCCTTGAAGTAGCGTTTCCGCACTGAGTTCTCTCCACCGTCGTTCTGCGCTCATGAACGAGTTTGCATGGGTGCTGGCTAGTCCGCTAGCGTCATGGTCAGTCGCCCGACTGCACGCCTCCTCCACGACTTCCTAGCCCTCTGGCTGAATACCTCAAGCCCACACGTGATGCGTGTTTCACACGGTGCGAGCGCGTGCACACGTGGCGTGCGTGCGTGGGAGAGCTTGGGTGTGTGGGGTTTGTGGGGTGCGTGCGTGCGTGGGTGCGTGGGTGGGTGGGTGGGTGGGTAGGCGTAGGTATAACTAGGTGGGTAGCTGTGTGGCTGTGTGTGTGAGTGTGCGTAGGTGTGCGAGTGTGAGTGCGAGTGTGCGAGTGCGAGTGTGAGTGTGAGTGGGTGTGCGAGTGTGCGAGTGTGCGAGTGTGCGAGTGTGCGAGTGTGCGAGTGTGAGTGCGCGTGCGAGTGCGAGTGTGAGTGTGAGTGCGAGTGCGAGCGCGAGTGTGAGTGCGAGTGCGAGTGTGCGAGTGTGAGTGCGAGTGTGAGTGTACGTGGGTGTGCGAGTGCGAGTGTGCGTGCGAGTGTGCGCGTGCGAGTGTGAGTGTGCGTGCGAGTGCGAGTGTGAGTGTGAGTGCGAGTGCGAGCGTGAGTGCGCGTGTGAGTGCGAGTGCGAGCGTGAGTGCGAGTGCGAGTCCGAGTGTGAGTGCGAGTGAGTGAGTGTGTGTGTGTGTGTGTGTGTGTGTGTGTGGGTGTGTGGGTGTGTGTGTGTGTGTGTATGAGTGTGAGTGTGTGAGTGTGTGAGTGTGTGAGTGTGTGAGTGTGTGAGTGTGTGAGTGTGTGTGTGTGTGTGTGTGTAATCGTGTGTGTGTGTGTGTGTGTGTGTGTAATCGTGTGTGTGTGTGTGTGTGTAATCGTGTGTGTGCTCGCGCAGGCGCGTGCTTGCGCGTACTGGCACCAAGGCTGGGTCTAGAGTCTAGACTCTGAAGCTAGAGGTGGATCATATCCTTGTCCTAGCCTACATAGCAGCTGACCTACCCGAATAGTGCTGCAGGGATCTGCAAGGCACTTGGGATTGCCACTGTAAAATCCCTCGACCTCCGCCCCAAACTTCACGGTGAGGCTGCGTGCACCCTGTTTCATGACAAATTCTTCCAGTTCCAAGCTTTCTTCGTTGCTGTTGCAGCGAGGGGTTGGAGGGCTCCGAGCCCGTTGTCGTGTGGCTTGTCGTGAAGCGCAGTATCCAGCAAACCATATGTTTTGTACATAAACATACATATATATATATATATACATATATATATACATGAGATGTAGACTAATGTAGGCATGTGGCAGCCAGTGGCAGTTTGATCACCAAAACAAGACACACATGGAATTGGGTGGCAAAGCCCACTACACTTGGCCTTTCTGTGCTAGCGCAGGGCAGGACCGAGCGTTGCTCGCGTTCATGCAGAAAGACCGTTTCGGGCAGAAATGGATGGACAGTATCTTAGCGGAACTCAGACCCACCATTTGTCACCAGCTCTCGCAGGTCTAGAACCTGCGACATTCCATGTAACTGTGTTCCAGTCTGCCGTCATGACTGACTAACCTTGTCTGGACGCCTCCTGGCGCCTCTGCCAGAAGCGCTGCTAGAAGAGAGTTCAAGAACAGACCCTCGCAGTTTGATTTTCCTGATATCTCTCTTGGCACAGGGGAGTGCGGCATGCCTATTCGACCCTCAGGACACAAGACTATACTATACCCCCAAGGCACCAACAGGTTTTCATGTTAGGCCCAACCTTGATGTGCAGAGGGGGTTCACTAGTTCCTGGGGCAATAGAGCATGCCGTGGACGCGCCGGTCAACCATATGATGCCTGGAGGGTACAAAAGCAACAACCCATTCTACACTGTTTTTCAGGATACTGCCAAGGACGAAACAAGACTGAACGTAGCCCTGCCTAGCCGTGCACCCAAATTGGCCCATCGAACCGAACCGAGAATCTTCAGCTTTGGCCAGCCAGCTGCTCTCATGCTCCCCAAAATGCCTTTGCGAAGCATGCTGCGACACAACCATGAAGCAGGATGGCTAGGGCAGCTATAGGGGCGCGTTCCATTTCCGTGATACCTGTGCTGTGCTAGAGAGCACTCTTCGACAGAAGTGGGCATGGATTTTGTTCAGACTTGTGCGGCCCTTTCGGATCGCAGCTTCCCCACAGCTGTTTCCACTGGGCTATACTGGGCTGAAGTCGCCCCCGCGCTTCCGACCCCGCTGTTTGGGTACTGCACCTGACCTGTGCCAGGCACCTAATGCATGCCTTTTTTCTTCACTTCCGGAACCTGGGCAGTGGTCCCGAGGATCTGCTACAAGTAGAGTTCACCCGTAGCGATTGTGGGTGTTTGTGATTATAGTTGGTGCTGTCATCAAGTGCGTAAGCGTGTGCGAGAGAGAGGGCGTGTTGTGTGTGTGTGTGTGTTTGCGCGCGCACCCCATGTTACTGTACGTGCAAACGCCGCCAAAGCTGGTTGAAGCTTTCATGAGTCGGAGATTGTATATTACCTCTGCCACAGTTCCTCTGTGGTAGGGCCTAGAGGCCAAGAACATTCTATTCACTTCCTGGACTTGAGGCGATGCAGTTCGAAGTATCAAAGCAGCCTGGAGGCAAACTTGCCCAGTTTTGCCTGCTCTTCGCACCGCCCAACTTCAAGTGGGGCAAGTGCTGACAGTTGTGGAACCATGCCATGCGTCATCCCAGCTTAATATACCACAGCAGGAAGACAGCGCAAGACAACAGCATCATGACAGATCATGCTCAGGCACGCCCGGCTGTGTCAAGCTGCACGCAGGCGCCGTAGACGAACCCACGAGTAAGGCAGCTGAAGGGGATCCATCGGCCACAGTTTCAATCCAAGCTTAAGGTAGGTCATAGGTTATAGGGCATTCATGTCCAGTCAGGTTGAGTGGGTCTGCGCTATCATGGCAGATGTCAAAGCGGCATGTCGTCAGCGAAGGCCAGCAATGGCAGGCCGTGCTGCCCGTGAAAGTTGGCGTGTTGGACCAGAGTTTGGAGTCAGCGTGGTTCTCATCAAGCAAGCTTGCGAAGCAAAACGCAGCCGAACAGTTTCAGGTGGATCCTGAGGTCTGCTCACACTGGGATTTGGCTTGTGCGGAGCAGGTGACCAAGAAGAAGAATCATGCAGCGTGACTTCAGCTGCTGTTGGCAATCGCCCGGGCACACCTAGTACAATCTACAGAACGCCTTCATTTGCGCCGTGTGGGGCTCCAAGAAGCCTGCGGACAACGTCTGCGCTGGTACCTCATTCTGCGCAGCGCATGCGGCGTGTGCAATGCTTGCAAGATCCTGTGCAGCAGAAAAGCTCGTGCGAATGTTGCGCTGAAGCTAGCTTGCTATCTCATGTAGTCACTGAGCTTCACCAAAGACATCGTGCGCAGGTGACTATGTCCTTGAGGCCACCGTCGGGGAAGCGTTTCTGCTTACGAGCAGTTGCGCTTGCTCTGACTGTAGGAGCTAGTAAAGTTTCCATGATTCGGAATGGGCTCCCGGGGCTCAACTTGATCAACATGTGCACCTTGAGCTTCGCATGTTAAAAGTAAAGAAATCATAGCTGCCAACGCTTTCACGTGTCTTCTTCATGACCACAGCGTCGTCAAGCCATGCCTGCGCCAGGCCGGCGCCAGACGGCCATGTCATGCAGCCTGGAGGCTGGGATGGCTAGGGCCCGCAGGGACCCAAAAAGGACATAAGCATAAGCATTTCATAGGGATATCCCTACCTACCTTATTGGGCTTCATTATAAGGGGGTTTATATGGGATATCCCCATCCTATTTGTTGCTTATGTGCTTTTTTGGGGCCCTTTTATTTGGAGGGTTGTTGTCAGGTGCAGTGTTCCGGTGGCGTATGCTTGTATACGGTTGCATCTTGAGCAGCTGCTCTGTGGCGGCGCCGCAGAAGTTGCTCTCCAACCTTATACCTGAGGAACCCATGTACGAGCCCCAGCCAAAAGACACCAGACTTCAGCAGCCAGTAAGAGCTAGTACTGATGAGGTTCTTGGCAGTGCTGTACTCGTGTCTTAACCACGAGTTCTGAGCTTTCATCGTAACATGCACGGATGTGTTATGAATCCAAATGAGCAAGTCGTGCAAAGTCCCTTCTCGAGTGTGGATGCTGCCTTACTTCGCCGAGTCAAGTTGTATGTGTACATATATATATATATGTATGTATGTATGTATGTATACATACCCTGCGGATTCTTCCATCTTTGCACTTCTCCACCTGAGACAACTCCTTGGGATTGCTCGCACAACTGATTTCTGCAAGGCTCCGTCTTGCAGTGCTTTGCGCCAGGAGCCGGCGTTGCCGACCTTGCTCGGGCGAAAGGCATCACCGGGGCACGAAGTCTCGCAGCTCCATCTTGCCTCGGACGTCGTCAGGAGAGCGTGCGCAAATCGTACCGACGAGCCGGGCCGCCAGAAGCAGGTTTCGCAGCTTACAGCCGGACACTTTCAACCTGGGCACCCTTGAGGCTCATGACACACTGAACGACGAGCTCTTGCCACAAGCTCAATGGGAAGTTGGAGCCAGTTTTCATACTTGCGGGGTGGAGGTCTGAGCGCGCGCATGGTGCCATCGTAAGTGTAGAGCTTGTTTTTTCAGTCACTCCCACTCACTAACTCTCTCACATGCTCCCTCTCTCACTTACTCGCCCGCTCAGTCTCTCACGTGCTGACTTACTCACGCACGCACGCACTCACGCACTCACACTCTTTCTATCACTCCGCTCATTCAACGCAGCAGGCAACAAGGGTTTCCAAACCCCAAGCCCAAAATCACAAGAACGCATGGCACTTCTCAGGATCCGCAGGTATGAAAGCCGCATCGCTGTTGAGCCAGTCCGACGCGTTTGACTTTCGAAGAGACGAGCGCATTTTTGGAACACATGCAAGTGCTAGCCAGCTGCCACGTAGGAATATGTTCACAATGCCAGCTACAAAGCATAACTCCTTTCCTCGCCCGGTGTCCAGAAGAGATATGTGTGCTTCGTTCTGCGGCTTCTGCTCGTGGCAATCTGCCTGCCAGTGACCACAAGAATGCTGCCACCTTCGGTGGACCACTCAGTCGTGGTTACAGGCTATGCCAGACTGCTGTAACTGTTTGAAGATTGGAGGACTCAACGCTCGGAAGTGCTGCCTCGAATGCTTAAAGATCACTCCCTGACTGCAGCAGTAACATGGTTGGAATAGCGGCTTCCCAGCAACCTTGTATGTCAAACGCGAGCCTGTCTGAGGCTCGTCTGTGAAGGAGGCGCGGTAGTGCCAGCACTTGCAACTACCTTGCAGCATCTCATTGGCAGCCCAGCGCTTACCCAGTGCTTGCCCTTGCTGCGCCTGTTCAGGTCAAGCACATTCACGCTCCTAAACCCCGACGAGCAGCTGGAGCCTTAAATGGGCCCATCTCCGGCCAAGTGTTTGACTGCTGAGCTCGGACCCATCTTCGGAAGTGTGCTGGCGTTGGGTGAACGTCCCTGATATGTGCGGCTTCAGCACTCTGTTTGACTAGAGGGATGTGTTGGGTTGTCCTTGTGTTGATGAGACGACTATGGAGATATGGAGTTTTCTAGTTACTAGTTCCTGGTCGCGTTGTTTGCTGATCTGCGCTGAAGGTGGCATTTAACACATCTGCTGATCGTTTCGGCCACATCGTGGACGGCTCTCCAGGACTGTGGGATTGCAAGGTCTCTCCATATCTTCCTTACTTCGAATCGAATCGTGCAAAGATGTCCTTGTGATCGCAAGCTTTCCGCAGTCGTGCTCTTGATGACCCCAAGAACCGTATCTCAAGGCCCAGCGGCGTACGATCTTCAACGTTGGCCTGTTGCGCCGTCTTCAGACATAGGAGTGGGTGTTTGAAGCACAGGTTTTCTGACAGCGGCGTGCTGTTTTCAGCGATTGTTGGAAGCGAATGCCTGAGGTGCCACGCTGCAGGGCTCAGCGCAAGCTTAAAGTGATGGCAAGGCCATGTGAGGCGAGATCGAGATTGCACGTTGTCATGCACTCTTGTGTTGTTCCACGAGATTCAAGCTTCACAACAGGTGCAGGAGCTGAAGCCCGTAGTCCTTCCAGACGGAAAGGCAGCCTGTTGAAATGTGTCTTGTTGCCAGTAGAGGCTAGTAACGGCTACTCGTGTCTGGGTCGAGGCAATGCCGTTTCATTAGATTCCCGACGGGCGCGCTGAGGTTGCATGTCGGAGGGGTTCGCTGTATAAGCTGCATGGAATTTCTTTTTTTAGGTCGACGTTGTCCAGCGCAATCTTGCCTGACCAACAAGAGCCGATCTCTTCAGTGCAACGAGTAGGTCTGCTAAGTCTGCTACATGAGAGCCAAGTAGGTTTGCGACCGTCTGCGCAGCAATGCGTCAGAAACAGGGTCTCGCAAGCAAGGCAACGATGGCCAAGTTTCAATATTCGCGCTTCTTGTGTTGAAACGGGTGAATAGCTCAGACTGCTGTAGGCCCGCGTCGCAGTCGTAGTTTTTTTGAAGGAATGTCGAGCCATTGCCCAAAATAAACGGCATTATACGCGGCATGCCAATCGTTCACCTCTTGCAAATTCTTGATCGTCCCTTTTTTGCCATTTCAGCCCACGACCACCGTGCCGACCCGGCAGTCATCTTGATTGAAAGCAGCACGTGAATTGCAGGGAATGTTGCAGTGATGAGTTGATTTGGGGTTCAGAAGAAGCCATTAAAAAACTCCTGCGTGTTCCATGTGCAGGACTTCGAAAGCTTAGATGTTGCATCCAAGACCTGCGTGCAGAAAGCACAGATCCGCGCAGGTTCTCGTCCCCTTTCAGTTCTGAAAAATCAGTGAGCAGAATCCTAGACATGCTGGATTGTCGAATTTCAAGGCCCGTCTTGCGGGCACGGCGTTGGCCAGTCAGGCACTTGGGCTCTCTTTGAAGATAGCTGTGAGATAGCTGGTGTCTTCGGAGTCTTGGGAGGTGCACTAAACAGATTTCCTTGCCCTGTCTTCCACAGATGGTGGCTGGCGCCAAGTCACGTTTCTCGCTTTGCTCAACTTCAGGGCAGGTGTCTCACCCGTTCGATTGCTTGCGACAAAGTCCGCCAAAAGCATTTTGTTTGCCCGAGCAGTGACCAGGGTTAACGAAGCCGGTGTCCAGCCGTGAAAGCCTCCAGTTCTCCGAGTCCCGATCGCCATCTTTATACTGCCTCCCAGCATGCTGCATGTACGTGCGCATGTTCGCAGTGGCTCTATGTGGCACTTGCATGATTCATTGCGCGGTGTTTTTTTGCGTTCGTGCTACTCGTCGGTCATATTCTGTTTGTTTTCAATGTCGAACTACATAGACTTGATTCAAAGCCGAGCTTGGGGCGGTGAACAAGGAAGGTAGTGCAACAGCTTGGAAAAGTGAGGGAAGCAGAGCACAGTCGTGGAACAAATGCAAATCTGCCTCCAGACTGCTTGCAAGTTTGTAGATGGGCGACAACTTGGTCTGGTGTTTCATGTGGCTTCTGTGCTCCATTTTTAGTTTGAGCGGCCTGGCCAGGACGTGAAGTATAAACATGTATGCATGTTTGGCTCAATCAAGAATTGGCCTCAACATTTGAAGTGCTGGCCGCGAGAACCTACAAAAAGGCAGGGGGGCCCTTTGCAGACGTTGCCTCTTCAGTTTCTTTTGTAGAGGTTGAGGCGGCATTGCCCCTTTCATTTTGACATGGGCAGGCAATGGCCGGCATAGCATTACGAACCTCCAATCTTGCGAGTCGGAAGCCGAGTTACCGTTTTGTGGTTGGAGATGTTTCCGTCGAGCTGCGGAGCCTGAGCCAAGCATTGGTTGAGGATTGGATAGCATGTAGAATTTCTATGTTGTCCATGACGCGGAATCCGGGACATGGAGCTCATGCTCCGTGTGGTCAAAGGCGATCCACCACGGATGGAGATGAATTGGGTGCGGACCTGAGTATGACTAAAGCAAGGTTGCGCCGTTGCTCTTGCGCTTGGGGCCTTGCTTGGAATTCAGCGTGGATTCTTTCTGGAAGCAGCAGGTGCCACATGTGCAAGCTTCTCTCATCTCCAGTGCTCCTGTGTCGATTGGAAGGCTTGGGGCGTGGAGAGCTAAGTGATGCTAAGTGTTTTGTCATAATGTGGGTCTGCCGGAAGGCAGTTTCATCAACCGTCGCAGCCACAGAAACTCGGCATGTAAGTTTTTTATTTTTCATATTTGGATTGGTAATTTCGCTTCTCTGAGGCCACCTGTGTTGCAGTCTGCGCAGTACACGAGGCATGCTCCAAAGATGTTTCAGGTTTTGGAGCAGATTCGATGATTGACTCTTAAGATGTTGGTGCTGATGGAGCTTCTGCTTGCATCATCGAAGACAGTGAGACCTGAATGTAAAGTTCATGGCAACTGCTTCAATGCTGCAGGCCGTTTGACAATGATGGTTCGACCGTGCATGCTCGTCTCAGCAAAGTTAGTGCTGAAGCCTCGGGACGTTGTTGGAGTCTTGCGAGGGGCATGTAATAATTCAAGCCTCGTCCTCTGGGTGTACTCCGTGTGTGCGCGTGCGTGCATGCGTGCGTGCGTCCATGCGTGCAGGCAGGCGGGCGGGTGGGCGCTTGCGTGCGTGCACGTGGGCTAGCGTGTGTGACTGTACAAAGGGAGGCCGCTCACAACCATCAACAAGGAACCTCCGCTTAGTGAGTTCAAGCAAGCCTGTTGGGGCTAACAGCACTGTGGCCGGCGAAGATGGAGTCATCAGGTCGCTTTTGACTAGCCAGCATGTCATTTGACAAATCATGATGAAGCGTGGGGGACATCGCTCGGCCATACAATGCAAGGCATCGGTTTGAGGTGTGAAATGTTCTTGAGAGCTGGACATTCGTCGTGCTAGCATGAAGTGCAGATGCACCTGCGTGTTAGCAACTGTTAGCAACTGGACAAGAAACAACTCTTGGGGTGCTGAGAGGTGCTTGAACTTTGATTCTGTTGATGATGAGAAGTTGCCAGATGTGGTTCGACAGACTGGTATGAGGTGCTTGACATGCAGGAGGTGATGGCAGCTGCCGGGGCCTTGCTCTATGCCAGCCATATCAAGCCAGTGATCTCTGCTCTGGTGCAGGTAGAGACGCTCTATGTAGTCGACTCCTCAGAGCCGACTGCCGTAGTCCGCTAGATCCGTGGAGTCGCACCTGCTGTGCCCAATCCTGCTTGTGACTGCAAACGAGGATGAGCTGAGACCGTACGGGAGGACGCTCTCTCCAGATCACAAAGCGGACCCTGTGAATGATGGAGCGCTGTAGGATCCTGCGAAAGCGGCTGGCAGAACGAGCTTCGGCGGCCAATTCCCCAGCTGATGTATCATCCCTGGGCCCTGGGCTGGCCAACGGTTTAATGCTAGCAACTAGCAGCCTGCGACTGAACACGAGATTTGCACACACCTCTCTCGAATGCCGTTGCAGTGATATTCTGATTACAACTCAGCTGCTACTTAGCTCAAAGCCTTGGCCAAAAGCTTGGGGTAACAGCCTCGTTTTCCCCGAGGCCGGTCAAGGCAACGTGGACGTGGACATCAAGCGCCTGCGAAGCGTCTGCGAGGTCTTCTGTACGGGCTTGTGATGTTTTATACGTCCTGGGGCGGAGTGCAATGTGCACGAATGAAAAAAGCGACTATCTGCACTGACAGGCTTGCCCTTGGATCTACGTCCAGGCGCCTGACGGATGCCAGCGCATGGTGTTTCTCTGCGAGAGCCGGGTCGGAGGCCGAAGATGGTGGAGACTGGTCTGCTTTGTTGCGAGGCCGCCCACCAGCCCAGGGCCCGGAAGTTCACAAGACACATGTTTCATGACTGGCTTCGTATCATATCTGATCTTTCTCAAGAAACGTTGCGTGCCAAGAACTTCATCGATGTGTACAGCCCGCAGGATGGAGAGCGTGTACATATTGTGTACATGTTCTGACAGGGGTAAAGGATAGATGTCATGGATTTGGCTATACCTCACTTTGCCTTTCGAATGCTTGTCTTGCTCCAGAGATCGTGTGGCGTGCATCCCTGCTGCTCGCAGGATTTTTACTCCCCGTCCTTGTGGCAAGCAGCAGCCAGCTATTTCGAAGGCACCTTGGAGCAAAGCGCTCCCGTAGAAGTGTCATTCAGTTCCAGTCTGCAGGCTTGGACGATGCCAACATGGTACTGCATGGAGCCCAGCAAGCAGAGGAAAACCTGTGGCAAGAAACGTGCACGGCTCCTTTTAGTGGGTGTCGCTGATTTCCTTGGTTTCGGTGTCGCTGTGATTTTGTCTCTGTGGAGGCCCGGAGGCCGCTACTCCTGCGCACAGGCAAAAGAGAGGAAATGACGAGGGGAAGCAAGAGGGAAGAGGGCCGAAGGTCGCAGTGGGCTTCTCTCTCTTTTTTTGCGCCGTTTGCAGCAAGTCTCCTTTGAACTTAAATCTGTAGCTCCAGTGTAGCTCCGCTGTTCAAAAGACAGTTGTCCGTCTTGTCTTGCGTGTGCCGAACCCTTCCTCCTTATTGAACTGAGTCGTTATCGTCAATGAGAGGCAGACGTAGTGAAAGGTGTCCTCCTGCTGTATCTTGAGCTGCCTGTTCTCACGTTGCATTGTGGGAGTGGTGCGGGCAGAGAGGATCACGGGCGTGGACATGTCGTTCATGACCCATCATCCTCTATGAATGCAAAGGTGAGGCACCATGGTTCTGAATCATCCTTCACCCCTGGCCTTTCCTCTAGAGATGTCGGCCGCCGAGCATGTTTCAAAAATGGCTGCAGGCGCTGGTTTCACGTGGGCTGCAGTTTCTTCAAGGAAGGACGCTGGGGCAGGCTGGCAATTTGACAGTCCTGAGAGATGTAGGAGTAGGACTGCACAAGCGGGTTGCGTGCGATATGCTTCAGAGCCTATACAAACACACTATCACGGCAGTTGCCGTTTGATCGTCCAGGTCTGCCACATCGTGCAACTTGCCATCTCGCAAAAGAGCCTCAGCTTCGCTTAGCCTACAGATGCTTCAGACGGTGTGTTGCACGATGTTGCAGGAGAACCTCAAGTGGTCAATGCTCTGATTGTAGCGGGTTGTTTCTCGATTGTCGCAGAACATGTAAGGAAGCTCCTGGGCTACTTGAATGGCGCTGTGGTCCCGTATGGGCGCTCTCAGCCTTGCTCCTCAGACCTTGGAAGGGGTATGCGGCAGCCTGGAACGTGCCTGCCCGGCTCTCTTCCATCTCAGCCATGTGCCCGCTGGCACGGCTAGCACCTACAACCTTTGTTGAAGCCTTGATATGCTTCATGGATATAGCTCTGCAGGCGCCACCTTGGCGTATCGCGGAAGGTCGATGACACGGCACTGGCGTGAGCACAATAGCCAGCAACAGACAACAGGACACTATTTGCAAGCAAAACCTTCAAGCTCGCGGACCTCACCACCATCACGATCAATAGGGGTAGCTAATCAAAAGGCGGATTAACGGCATGCTCTTCAGTCACGTTCCAAGTTGTCGAAAACAGCTTTTGACCGGGAAGGTCTGACCAGCCGATCGCAGAGCCCGAGACAGATTCTAGCTGCTACCGTAGTCGCAGTGACGTTGCTAGATGAATAACTAGCAGATCATCTCCCAAATTCGTCTTCCCATGGTTTAGGGAAGGGCGTGTGCCTCAGGGTTATCCGGCCTCTGCCAAGCTTTGGTATTCCGAAGTGGCCCTGAGAGATAAAGGCTGGGCCAAACAGGTAGAAGTAGTAAACTCGTCAGTCTTGGCTTGACAGAGCCTTATTGCAGGATTGTGCAGGGCAAGGGTCCTGTCCCGGGTCCTCATCTCAAAAACAGGTGACGCAAGGACCCTCGGCACTTGCAGAAGCCATGACTCGTATAGTATGACCTTCAACGTCCTTCAGTTGCTTTTCGCAAGCGACGCCTGTGGGCCGAAAGCACAGCTCATCTATTTTGTCGGTTTGTCCGGAGGCAATCTCGCCGGTGGATGGCCGAGATAGAACACATGGTTCCGTGGTCATTCTGCCTAGATTCATCATTGGTTCATCAGGTGTAATTAAACTCGGCTTCTTGCCGGACGTGCTGATTGATTTTTCGATGTTTCTACACCACACATGTACATTCTTGTCAGAGGACTTGTCAACCCATAGATTTGATTGATTGGCTCCATTCGGGTCGGCTTGCTGGCGATTGTTCTTGTTGTAGACCCGAGATGCAAGACTCCCTACATTGTGGCTGTTGGCCAGCAAGTCAGTTTTTTGGTTCTGCAAAAGTAGTTGCATGTAAACAGTCAAGGTCCATGATCAAGGAGCGTTGCCGCACGCCTGGAAGGTGTTGATGGCAAATTGACTTCCGCTTTCTGCGTGGGTTACGACAGCATTCGTATCTCATGTTGAGGTGCGGAGCGGCAGAAGCCTTGCAACAACGTTGCACGCGGAAATGGATCTGATTTGGCTGGCAGCTACCTCAGTCTGATCTGTCGAAAGACAAGATTGTAGCATTCTGCCGCAAATTGTGGGCAAAGCTTGCAAGTTTTAAAGCATCTCGCTGCTCAGATTGGGAAGTGGTGAAGCATGGCCTGTCGGAAATCCTTGGAAGCTTGAGTGTGCTGCTAAGTGTTGAAAGTGCATATGTTCCGTTTGCAAGTTGCTGTGCTGCCATGGATCCTGACAGCATCCAACTCAGGTCCTGGTACAGCCACCATACCACTTTCCAACGTCAAGCGTCTCTTTCGATCGTACCTGGCCAAGACTGCAACAGATAGACATTCTCAACGTTTGCTGTGACACCTCAAGGCCTGATTGACACTGGTGTTGGGCAGGCGCTTCCACATCGAGCTGAGCGAGACTGCCCTTGGCCACTCCAAGCTTTCCGAGCTGCTGCAGGAGGGTGCATAGGTAGGTTCCGAAAAAGCAGTGCCAGAGTTCTGACGAACACACGTGTGGGGAAACTCAAAAAAGACTGGAGCACTGCTGCTTGGGCCTTCTTCATCCAGGTTCGATGCCCAGTTTGTTAAAGGGACAGAATTGGCCAGTTGCAAGTTGAGAGTTGCCATCCTAGCCTTCTACAATTTGAAACGCACAACGCCCGTGCAAAGCGGCACATTGGTCGCTTGTTCTGCTCTAAGCCGGCTTGTCTTGGTGTTGGCAGGAGAAAGTTTGCTAACGGATATGCGTGCCCTTTCCAACACGCCGCAGGATCCCCGATTGCAAGACATCTGCTCGGTTCGTCTGCAGGGTCATGGAAGCTTGCCGGCAATTTGATTTGCTTTGACTCCAGTTTTGTGATCTCAGCCATGGTGCCCGTACGTGTTATTTGAGAAGCTGTTTGCTCAAGGTTATGTTGTCAGCCCAGTGGCAATCAGCGCCGAATCCTCATTGTTGGAACGGTTTTCAACTTCGCCCGACTACAGCCGATAGTAACATTGTGTGCGAGAATGCTGTAATTAGGCTGTCGTTCCATCCAAGTCCACGAGTTCGCAAGCAAAGCCGGGGTCCCAGCCGGCTTTTGCCAACTGTCGTGCGCAGGCGCGCAAGAGGCAAGACTTGAAAGATCTTGAAAGCACTGAGCATCGAGAGGTCCTTGCAGGTTGCCGCGGGGCCGGGATTGTCCATGGCTGCTGCCGGGGCCCCAGAGCCTGTGAAAGGGGCCAACATCGCGACAATTGGCGTTGGAAAGCTTGTGGTCCCGTTGCGCATGGGGCCACACCCAAGGTGGGGCAATTTTTCAGGTTTGCGCACAAAAAGGACAGCCTCTGCGATCTTAACGTGCTGCCTATCCTACCAAAGGACCAGGACCCCACTGCGAGCAGCTACGCTTCGGCTTCTGAAAGCTTTCCAGATCGAGGGGTCACATCCCAAGGCGGGTGCAGCCGCGGTCACGGCAGCCGTTGCTGCAGCATGCGGCCAGATGCCTACACAGGCGCAGAAGAAATTTTGAAGTACTGCTGCATTGAGTTCAATGTTGAGAGCGCTGCCGTTGCCTTGCAGGCAGGGCCGTTGGCGCCGGCAGCACAGGGAGCCGCCCACCTGGCTTCAGATCATTTCAGTTTATTTCCAGATTTCGCATCCTTGACTTGCCCAAAGAATTGGTGGACACGCGCACACATCGCATAGGAACAAGTCCGCCTACTGCGGGCCCTTGCGGAGCCTGCTGAGGTCAACGTGCACAAGCCGACAGCACCGTCCACGTATGACAAGGTGCGGCTTTGACATCTGCGATGTGACATATTCTTACACGGCATCTGGCGCACATTTTCTTTATGCCAAATTCATGACACTCGGGCAGCCAAAGTCCGATCTCAAGGTATGGACTAGTTTTCGGAAGTGATTTCTGCAGCAGTGAAGCTCCGTGTGGTGATACATGGGCACTGGCTTTACATCGATAGGTCCGAAACACATAGGCGCGGTATGGGAGCATTCGCACGTACGACCTAATGCTCACAAGCATTGGCCTTTTGTGTCGTTAGCATTCCTTCAGAGCATGTTTGTGCAGGCGGAAGTGCCAGCCTTTGATCCACACGTGCAGCCTACGTGCAACCCAGCTGGACCGGCCCAAGACTGAGGTGCATGAGGTCATGGTGTGGCATCTGTCGCGCTCAAAAAAATCACACAATCGGCCTCAGGCTCCCATGCCATCCGCGCACGCCACCTCTCGCGTATCCCTGCGCAGGATTCTCAGACAAACGGCACCCGCGAATCCAGGGCAGCCTGCCGAGGGGTCTGAGTTGCAGGTGACCGAGCACCCTTCGTCGCACCCCTCAGCTTGGAAGATGATGCGGGACAGCCAGGACCTTTGACAATTGACAGGCGCGTGATGCAGACTTGCTATGCCTCGTTCGTATGACGAATGACAAGGCCGCCTGTAGGGCAACGTGGCCAGCAAGTCCCTTGCGGCCTTGGGCTTTGCTTCCGCTGATAGATCAAACGTTGCTGTCCGAAAAGCATATCCTTCAAGAGCATCAAAGAGCCGAGGTGCCTTCCAAACTCCCTTTGTCATGCCCCCAGACTCCCGAGGGCTGCGGCGGATTGGTGCGTCGAGGTTGTTCAGGAACCCAGAAGGGCCCCACACCCCCGCGATGGTGTCATGCACGAATTCTTGAGCCATGTATGTACAGTACGCGTTTAGAGGCATATGAAGATAAGCATGAGTCGACGGGAGATCTCATGAGGATGAGATGGAGTGAGACTTCCTGCGAGTTACATTTGCGGAGTCTGGTCTGTGAGACTCATGCCATACAATGAGGGCGGTATGCCGCTCATGACTCCAACTCCCAGCTCACGCCGTGTGGACCTCAATGCCTTGCACCTCATCAGCTTCTTTGGCAGAGCGTCTTTGTGTCTAGGCAGAACGGGATCCGTGCCGCGAAACCTGGGTTCGGAACAGCGCCCAGCATTGACTGAGAGCAACAATGAGAGCTCTTGAAGTCTTAGAGTCAGACCTTCTCATCTTGCACGAGGAGCGGAGTGATTGCGACGTGTTGTGCGATCTTCCAGGTAGCGGCTAGCGCTTCCCAACTTGATGTGTGAGGGCTCGTGAGAGATGTAAGATTTCGTGACTCAGCACAGCTTGTGCAGGCCGAACAGGCCTATGTGGGGAGAGCCAGCTGCCCGCCGTGCCCCTGCCTCATGTTGAAGTGGTGTTGCACCAAAAGCAAAGCAATGTTTCTTTGAAAGTGCTTTGGTGGACATGCTTGGCGCTGCTTTGTGAGGCCAGCCACGCCAGAAACAATTGGTTTCCCGCAGTGGCGTGTATTGACACCAAATACATTGGACGGAATGGGCTACAGCGTGCTTGCCCCGGAAGACACATCGACTGCACACGGAACTGAGTCACAGAAAGTGTCCGCCCTGACGTGACCTGCAGATAGAATCACGCGACAGTTTCTTGTAGGTGCAGAACACATTCATCAACTTTGCGGTGCCATCTACACCCATGACCAATGCCCGGTCGCACTCGTTGCATCAGCCTTAGTAGCCTTAGCCCCTGTGTGCACTCTGGCAATGGCTAAGTGGTTGCCATGTTGCAAGCTACTCTGCGGTAGCACTGAAGAGATGCGCTTCTTCCTCGTACATTCTAGCGTTGATTGTGGCCTGGCACAGTGCTGCTAGGCCGCGTAACATGGGGGCATCCGAAAGTGACGAGGCTTGGCTGGGGCTCGATGCGTAATCCTGATACTATCCACACTACGAGGCCTAGTCAAATCATGTCAACGAGCAGTAATGAGAACAACCTTAATTGATTTTTGCAAGCAGCAAAACAGCAGAACTCATCGTAGTATCTCATCGTGTTTCGTGATTCACATTTTTTCTGCGCCGCCTCTTCGCGGCTTTGTCTTCCTCTCTCTTTGTTGAATCCAGGCGCAGCTGGGCGAGAAGGCCGAGGACGACGACCTTGATTTGTTTCTCGGAGAACTCCCTCCTCGCAGCACCGTGTTTTGCCACATGTCCCCGTGATGAAGATGTTAGGGGAGCAAGGTGTCCCCGTGCCGGGCTTTTGCTACCAGAACATAAACTCGTTTGTAGCGAATTGTAATCGCTTGCTTAGCGTGCAAGGTGAACACCTCGCCAAGAGCAGTAGCTTGCATTATGAACTCGTATGAGAGGACCCTGGATGCGCACCACATGGTCCGGCGAATCGGTTGATGCCAGGGGCTCACACGGCTTAAGGTTCTGTGAGCAGATGTATGGCGCTTCACAACTTCCTGGTGGCACCCCGGTGTGAAAGGTCAGCTGCAGCAGCGGCATGTGGTCCATCGCATGTGGAGTCCTCAGTCGAGTCAGAAGCAGACGAAAGCCCGTAATTAATCATCTGCAATCCGTGTCAACTTGTGATGTTGTTTGAGGCGTATGTCCCAAGGCGAGCCGCCGCAGCCTGAAGCAGGAACGTCACACCGGCATCAGCAGTCAATCGCACTCAGAGCATTGAAAGCTATGCTGCCGCCATTGTTGCCACACGTGCTCACATAACCCTGGTATCCATGGATGTCCCTGGAGCCAAAACAATGAGGTACAGCGGGATGGTGGCTTGGGATTGCCTGGAGGTTTCTCGATGTATTTCTCGAGGGGGTCGGGCCCGTGGCATGTGGACCATAAGCAAGACCTGGAATCATGCATTTTCACTCGACACGCCTGACCCAGCACATCACCCCCCGATAAGCAAGACCTGGAATCATGCATTTTCAGTCGAAACGCCTCACCCCTTCCCAGCACATCACTCCCTGATAAGCAAAACCTGGAATCATGCATTTTCAGTCGAAACGCCTCACCCCTTCCAATAAGCAAAACCTGGAATCATGCATGTTCAGTCGAAATGCCTCACCCCCCCCCCCCCCCCCCCCCCGGATAAGCATATCATGCATTTTCACTCGAAACGCCTCACCTCTTCCAAGCACATCACCCCCCGATAAGCAAGACCTGGAATCAATCATGCATTTTCAGTCGAAACGCCTGACCCCTTCCAAGCACATCACCCCCCGATAAGCAAGACCTGGAATCATGCATTTTCAGTCGAAACGCCTCACCCCTTCCAAGCACATCACCCCCCCGATAAGCCAGACCTGGAATCATGCATGTTCAGTCGAAACGCCTCACCCCTTCCCAGCACATCACTCCCTGATAAGCAAAACCTGGAATCATGCATTTTCAGTCGAAACGCCTCACCCCTTCCAAGCACATCACTCCCCGATAAGAAAGACCTGGAATCATGCATTTTCACTCGAAACGCCTCACCCCTTCCAAGCACATCACTCCCCAATAAGCAAGACCTGGAATCATGCATTTTCATTCGACACGCCTCACCCCTTCCAAGCACATCACTCCCCGATGAGCAAGACCTGGAATCATGCATTTTCACTCGAAACGCCTGACCCCTTCCAAGCGCAGCACCCCCCGATAAGCAAAACCTGGAATCATGCATGTTCAGTCGAAATGCCTCACCCCCCCCCCCCCCCCCCCCCGGATAAGCATATCATGCATTTTCACTCGAAACGCCTGACCCCTTCCAAGCACATCACTCCCCGATAAGCAAGACCTGGAATCATGCATTTTCAGTCGAAACGCCTCACCCCTTCCAAGCACATCACTCCCCGATAAGCAAGACCTGGAATCATGCATTTTCACTCGAAACGCCTGACCCCTTCCAAGCACATCACTCCCCGATAAGCAAGACCTGGAATCATGCATTTTCAGTCGAAACGCCTCACCCCTTCCAAGCACATCACTCCCCGATAAGCAAGACCTGGAATCATGCATTTTCACTCGAAACGCCTCACCCCTTCCAAGCACATCACTCCCCGATAAGCAAGACCTGGAATCATGCATTTTCGGTCGAAACGCTTCACCCTTTCCAAGCACATCACCCCCCGATAAGCAAGACCTGGAATCATGCATTTTCACTCGAAACGCCTCACCCCTTCCAAGCACATCACTCCCCGATCATGCAAAACCTGGAATCATGAATTTCGGTCGAAACGCCTCGCCCCTTCCAAGCACATCACCCCCCGATAAGCAAGACCTGGAATCATGCATTTTCACTCGAAACGCCTCACCATTGCACATCAGTCCCCGATCAGCAAAACCTGGAATCATGCATTTTCGGTCGAAACTCCGCACCCTTCCAAGCACATCACCCCCCGATAAGCAAGACCTGCCCTAAACCCTAAACCCTAAACCCTTAACCGTTTTCGGTTGAAACGCCTCACCCAGGAACATGAGACATGAGGCATGACTTGAATCGGGCGGGATGGCGGACTGAGGTGAACACGCCCAAGAGCGGGTCGAAAGCTCGCGCTGCGCTGGTGGGAGCCTCAGAAGGGTGTTGGCGACCTCGAGATGCGAAGCATTCCACAATAGTCGCACGATGGCTTTTTCTCTGAGGGTGTCGGAGGTTCATCGCCAACGTTCGGGTATGTGCGGGTCCTTCAAGTCCGATTTATGTAGAGCGGGAGTGCGGGGCACATAAAGCGCGATGATCAGGTCAGCATCGCATGTGGCTTTGCTGTTGGGGCGGGTGTCTGTCTGCACATGTGCAGGCATGCAATCCTGAGCCTGAACTGCCTGGATGTGTCTCCATGGCTATGCCCTCAGAATGCAAAGTGTGCCGCGCGCTGGTCGACATCTGTGAGCACATTGCAAGCCCAGGAGCATGGAACATGCTCAGGTAGCTCAGGCTGGGGACCAAGCACAAACATCGAATGCATGTGCTATGCTCCCAGAATACCTACATACTTGTAGAGTCTGCGTAGGTCACACGCTCCGCTTGGCAGACCTCCTCTGAGTGCGTGATCGGGAGACGGCAGCGTTGCATCGAGTCTTCCGTGGTCCATGTTTCACGCGCAAGAGCGTGTGATTTTCCTCAAGACGCTTCTGGTGCACCATTCCAGCCAACAGCTGGAAGGCCCTGTGTTGAAAGGGCAGGTGCCCGCAGGCACAAAGACGGCCTGAAAGTGAGCGGCAGTGCTTGAGAGCCAGGTTTAGAAGAGCACCGCTGGGAGGCGCAGCAGTCTTTGGTTAAGCGCGCTCACGCTGTACTAGAATCCATGCAGAACTGCATGGTGTCTCTCCCAATTCTGCCACCAGAAGATGGCAACACATAGATAACGGTGAGGCCGAAGGACCAAGCCTGTCCAGCTACAACAGGAAAAGTGCACAAGAAGTGACATTGGTCCGAAGGCTACCCGATGGTTTCATTTGGAGGACAAGGCGACTGCAAGAACTTCTCTCTATCTCATAAAGAAGACGAGAGAATGAGTCGCACTTCGTTTCCGTCAAATGCCAGGTTGCGCAGAAATCCAGACTCAGATGCCCAATGATGCCCACGTGGTTGCAGATGTTGATGCAGAAACAGACCCCTGAGGAATCACGGTGATGAGAGACTTCGGGATCATCGATGGTATGACCACTAGCTCGTTCCTCTCGAACTCTTCGCCTTAGCTCCAGAATATGTCTTTAGCTTGGAAACGTATGGTGCCCCGCCAATCTGACCACGGACGATCATTCCAGCTGACCACGGGAAGTCTAGTCTACATACACATACATAAAGAAACATAAACATAGACATATATATATATGTACGGATACACTTAAAATGTAAATACAGACATGTACATACAAATATTAGTATAAATAGTTTAGTGCTGCACATATTTATAGACCTTTCGGTGTCGTGATCCTTTCGACCCTTTTCCTTGCGAGCGCTGTTCCAGCTTTGGCGCTTTCCCAGCTTTGGCTCCAGTCGTCCCCACCAGACGTGCATTTGTACCCCACTAACCCTCAACCCTGAACCTATCGGTGAGGGTTTTGGGCCCTAGCTTTATAGGGTTGCAACAAGGGCTTGCCCCTCATGGTTCGGGGGGTATGGGAACAGAGGTTTGAGACGTGCTGACAATTATGGCAACACTTTGCATGCCCTGGCACACTCCTCTCTGCCTGAGTCATCTTTTATAATGCAGGCAAAGAGAAAGAGTCCCTACTTTGGTGGTTATATACTATAGACTATAGCTATTGTTTACTGACTGACTTCAGATACACGTGCAAACGATGCCCTGCAGCCGTGTGATCCCGCCTGGCTCTGCGCACAGCCACAAGGCGCAGGGAAGAGAGTAATCACCTCTGAGTCAGGTGTTTCCACGAAACGGTTTCCAAAGTTATGGATTTTCAGGACTCCATTATTTGTGAGCAACGCGCGAATTTCCAGAATGCACTGTCACAAATGTTTCCTGTCCATATTTGCTGTAATGGTCGGGTAGCCTAGTGGCAGACGTCCTGATGAAGGGCCTGCTTTTGACCTGCGCGTGTGCTTGCAGGCATGCGGGTCTATCTCACACTCCCTCCTGCTTTTATCGGCGGTTGGAGTTTCCATAAGAGCCCTTTGCGCAACTACGGCTTGTTTGAGACGTAGTACACTAGCGGCGAACCTGGGCATTGTGCGATTGAAAGGCAGCCTGCCGAAGACTCGAATCGTGTGACGCCATGGCAGAGGCGATGGGCTCGGGCTTCATGATTTGGGGGATGTCTCAAACAGTTGGGTGGTTGTCTTTTGGGATGCTAGGAATATAGGCCATAAACGGCTCGGAGAATCTCACAACGTGTGGCGTCTCAAGAGTCTTCGTTTGGACCGATCAGGTCAAGACGAAGAATCTGTTTTTGAGATTCTGAGTTTTCGCATGGTCTGCTGCAGCCTGTGCTTGCCTTGCCCAGGTCCGCGCCGCTTGGATGTGGCTTGGGGGTATCATGCCGCAGTTCATCCAGTCAGTTTGAGCCTGCGATTGTCTCAGCCCTGGCGGTGGAGTTCGAGTCTGCCATCGCAGACACGGTTGCTCCAGATTCCGGCCCTCCGCAGGCACACAGACTCGCCTTGAAATCTCTCGTGCAAGTAGTGAAGGCCAACCAGAGGCTTTGGGAACTGCGATCGAAGCCGCTTTTGAGTCTTGGGCTGCTTGAACTCCCATCTCGGG